AGACTTCAGTACCATAGACCACTTCATACGCTGCGGCAGGTAATTCAGAAGACCGAAGAATACAACCTGCCACTTTGCTTGGCGTTTGTGGACTATGAAAAAGCCTTTGATTCGATCGAGACGTGGGCTGTGTTACAGTCTCTCCAGCGGTGCCAAATTGACTATCGATATATCGAAGCGTTGAAATGTTTGTATGAAAACGCCACTATGTCAGTTCGCCTCCATGACCAGAATTCGAAGCCTATCCAACTGCAGCGAGGTGTCAGACAAGGCGATGTCATATCGCCAAAGCTGTTTACCACTGCGTTGGAAGATGTCTTCAAGCTTCTGGACTGGAGCGGGCTGGGCATCAACATTAACGGCGAGTACATCAATCACCTTCGATTTGCCGACGATATCGTGGTCATGGCTGAGACCCTGGAAGACCTTAGCAAAATGCTCGAAGACCTCAGTAGAGTCTCACAAGGAGTAGGTGCCGAAAATTATGTCAAAAGTCCATGTCGTACCTTTTCCCGTAAAAATCGGAGATTCTACACTCGAAATTGTCGATCACTACGTATACTTAGGGCAAACAATCCAGCTAGGTAGATCCAATTTCGAGAAAGAGGTCAATCGTCGAATCCATCTCGGATGGGCAGCGTTCGGGAAGCTCCGATATATCTTTTCGTCCAAATTTCCGCAGTGTCTCAAGACGAAGGTTTACGACCAATATGTATTGCCAGTAATGGCTTACGGAACAGAGACGTGGTCGCTAACTATGGGCCCCATCAATAAGCTCAGAGTCACTCAGAGGGCAATGGAGAGGGCTATGCTCGGAGTTACTCTGCGTGATCGAATCAGAAATGAGGAGATCCGCAGAAGAACCAGAGTGACCGACATAGCCCGAAGAATTGCGACTCTGAAGTGGCAATGGGCAGGGCACATAGCTCGTAGGACAGATGGCCGTTGGGGCAGTAAAGTCTTCGAGTGGCGACCACGGACCGGAAGACGCAGCGTGGGAAGGCCTCCAGCAAGGTGGACCGACGATCTGGTCAAGATCGCTGGAAGGCATTGGATGCGAGCAGCGCAGGACCAATCGTCGTGGAGATCTTTGGGGGAGGCCTATGTCCAGCAGTGGACGTCTTCCGGGCTGCGATGATGATGATGATGAATAAAGTGCGGAAGTTACATTATATTACCTAATGATATACATGGCATAAAAGATAGAGTAACTTGTAAGGATGATCCGGAGGTTATTAAATTGTTGGAAGCAACTTGACCAACATGAAAATCTGATCCAAAATTACGTAAGAATAATGGGAACTATATATTTTTCATTAATAAGTGTATACTTATTGTACTGTAGCAACAATGTCTAGTGATGTCAATTAGATATATTGTTATTATAGTACAGTAGAAATACTGATCTAATTATCACGTCAAAAGACATAAATATTTGTTTTGTATATCCCATAATCATCCTGTTTAATGATAACATTAATCATAAACAGGCCTAGCTGTGCGTGCTTGATATAACACACATTGAACGAATATAAAGCGAAGTGACTTTGCCGTATATATAATGAACAAGAAAGTTCTATAAATGCATATTGCATTACTAGAACTTAAAAGGCAATAATAAATTACGATGTATAGTTAAGTAGCTGTGTCCGCGAATTGGACGAAGACGTATTTCTTTAATCATTAATTAATGTAGGTAATTATAAAATAATGTATTATAATAAATAAGGATGAATCATTGCTACCTAGGTGTATGTATAGATTACAAATTATAATACATACCAAAGTTGATAATCTTAATATATACATATGTATATAATTGGTTTAAAAGCGTCTTTGGACCAATTTTAATGAAGTTTCGTGTATATTTTAATGGGTTCCTAAATGCTTTGAAAACACAATTGAACCCTCTGGCCAAGTGAACCGATTGCGCTATGTACTTTTCCTGGCCGGACGAAGTATGCCGGTTCTACTAATATCGGTGTAAACAGTTCATGTACTTTACACATTACCTAACAACTTTATTTTAAAATTTGTTATTAAACTATACTGCAAATATAATTTCGATATGAGTTTATTTCTTATCTCTTGATGTTTGACGGCTTCAATGGTCTAGCGATTTAGCACACCACGTTGCATCCGATTGCCGCAGGTTCGGTTCCTCGCACAGCGCGAACATTTGTATTCATGAGCACGATTGTTTATATTGGTCTAAAGAATATGTACAAAATAAATATATTCAAATATTTATATTAGTTGTCTAGTACCTATTACATAGGCCCTGCTGGACGTATGACTGGATGGCGCTGTGTGGATTGTCTAGGATTATTATTATTAATGAATACGATAATCTTTGTAAAAGCCATATGTAGTAGGTATGAAAAGAATGTTATATGAGGACGGCGTATGTGCTCTAAACTAGTTAAATTGTAAAATAAATGTTTTTTTAAAGTCGTTTGAATGGGTAAACAAGCTAACGGGCCTCATGGTAAGCGTTACCCATCGCCTATATACTACGGACATCACGTTATCATGTAACACCCTTAATACCATGTGTAGCATGTTGTAATTTCTCTACCTAATCTGACTCCACAACCGAAACACAGCTTTAAAAGCGGCTGAAAAAAGTGAGACTAAGAATGCAGTTAACATTTTACAATCTTCCTCTTGTGTAATAATACTATTTGCTGAAACGTGCTTATCTAAATATGTTTGCTTGAAATTTTTAAAATATCTTTTCAATATATTTTGCATGATAAAGTCCATATACCGATACGATAAAATCAATTATCGATACTTTATCACTGCCGGCATTCATTTATTCCGGTTTGATTTAATTCTATATAATTCCATAAATACATAAATGAGTAACCTACATGACTCTGACCTAGTAAATAATAGATATTAGAGCGTTGAAAATTTATTTAATTAAAACGAAATGGACACGTCTTAGCACGAAATGTGCACGAAATAGGCATGGTTTCCTACTGCCCCTTATACCGGACGGTCGAGAATTTAAATCTAGTAGACACCAAACTTAGTGTCAATATGACGCTCGATGTTGTTTTTCTGCGTGAGTGGCGGATGGCACAATACTGAAATCTGACTGAGAAACATTTATTTAAAATTTTCTTCTTCTTCTGTAGTTTTACAATTTAATTAGAGAAGCATGTAATTGTTGTCAAGAAGAACGAATAAACAGAGAGTGTAGCCAGCTAGTTTAGTTGCAAGTATAAATATAGCAATGCCAACATAACTGATTTTCATGATAAATACCGACCCGATTAGAATAGTTTTACCCACCGATTAGAAACCAAACTAAATCTAAAGACGGTAGCTGACGAATTTCATGGCGCATTGAAATATGAATATATTTATCGACTTATGAATACTTTATAATTTATAGCCTATATGTTATTCTGATGTATAAGCTATATTACTGTGAAGTTTCATATACATTTGACGTAAATTGATGGAACATGGACAAATATTTTGGTTGACTGACTTACACAGGAGAAAGCTACATAGAGCTCACCGTGCGAGAAATAGCTGACAGTGATATCTACGCCCGCAATACGCAGCGTCTGTCCTTGGGTTTCGTTAATTGACACGTCTTGGGTGTTACACAATACAACAATTTTTAACAAAAAATAAGAAAAATCCTGTGCATTTGTGTTTCCTGCTTTTCACGCCCTCATGTTCACAGTTAAGTGCATCTTTGTGATTTGTCGCCAAAGGATTGAGGTCTTGAACCATGCATTTATCTCATCGGTCTTTGTTGCCCGTGGCACTACTGTCAAAGTTTGTTTAAAATCCCCATAAAACAGCATCATTTTCGTTGTGCCATAGTGTACTCTTCCCAGATTATAAAATAGTATTCGTCTTCGCCTAACTTAAAACCTTCGATTTATCACTATATGTAGAGATACCACAGTCAGGATGTACACTTGTGTCCAAATCTATGGGGAATTTGAACACTGTACAAGCAGTTTTGCCGCCGGGTAACAAAGTGGCCGATATTCTAATTTATTTCAATAATATTTTAGCGAGAAAAGCTTTTCCCATCCAACCGGGTGCATCTAGAAAAAGAATTTCTGCTATGGCTAATTCCACTGGATCATAGTTTATTTGCACAGCGTATCTTGTATGGCAACGACTTCAACCCTGAAGAAGATTTTCGGTAGAAGTCGAATGTATTGTTGTGAGAGACGAAAACACTGTGAGTTCATAAAATTAATCTAATGATTTTTTAGAGAATATAGTTTATAATGATTAGTGTATTTGAACTAAATAATTTGATTTAAAGCCTATTTATTATAATAATTATTGCAATAATAATGTCTCTTTTTTTTACTAGACTTGGGAAACCCATCAATGTAGGGTTGAAAGTTGAATACATACGTATCTATTTATTATGTCTGCGAATAATGGACCAAAATTAACAAAAAACGTGTCTCCTCGCCTTTGCCTTGCGTCAAAATTACTTTAATAGATACTCTTTAATTATTTAAAATTAAAAGTATGTTTTTTTAAGTAGTAAGATGTTGTTGACCGGGAGTAAGCTACCTCCACGCAAAATTTCATTTAAATCTGTCCAACAGTTTTGAAGATTAGCCAGTACATAGAAACAATAAATATGAAAAAATCTACATGTGTTCTATTTCACTTGTAACATCCCTTTGACTCAGTTTTTGGTTTTTTTTTCTAAGTACGGTCATTTGTCCTATACAATTTTATTATGTGTATATATATGCATGAGTAGAAAAATATATTTAAGTCGACAGTTGACATTGCCTCTGACTATCCCATTTGAAATTACTGTCGCGAAGGTGTCGTGTGGTCATCATATTTGCGAGTGACGCGTTTTACAGAGATACCTAGCCTAGGCACATAATGTCACTGGACGACTTAGGTAATTGCAATCCTTTTATCTCTGTCTAGTTGAGATAATATACCTGTATAAAATTACTATCAAAATGCCACAATATCATTACCTTTTCCGATATTGCTTCGCGCAGTGTGAACTTATTTATCTATTAATAGATTTACATATATTGTACAAATTACCTTTCTATATTGAATAAGCAAAACGAAAACGGAAATGTTGCGTGTTAAATATCTTTTATGTGTCTTTGCAGTTTTTAGTGTCATTAATTTTAATGGAAATAGTGAGTATACGCAAGTGAAGTTAAATATATCATAAATTAAGTGAAAATGTCATAATCTGTGTAGTGTAAATTTGTGGTTATATTGAAAATGTGTGGTAAATATACCTCCGTCATTGTAGTAGAGAATTCGAAATTTATCAACAACAATCGAAAGAGCATTGGATTTTCAGGGATCAATGACCCATTAATGTCCCATAATCATCCCATAGTACACGATTTTCACCATGATTAGTAGTCTCGTGTAGCGATCATGTACTTAGACACTATCTACCAACACTATTCTTTGAAAGCTAATACATAGGGCAAAGGCATTATTATTAAAATAGACTGTTGACCCTATTGCTAGCAATGTACCATGTCAGGTTAGGTTTCAGTCTAAGAGTTTCTGTTCAGTCAGTGTTCCAAGAACGCATTCCTTTTATTTAGTTCTTTGTTATTATATTTTAAATTTTAACATTGATTACATACATCTTTATTGAATTGATATATAATAATATAGTTTTCTATAGATAAAAAAATAATTAACAACGTTTATATGTACATTAGGTATGTTAGGTATTTTTTTTAATTTCTCCATTATGTTGTTCCTAATGGCTAAATTTAAAAAAAACTTCATACATTCATAATAACATACTATTCTCCTTTATAATATTAGTATATAACAAAAAATATTTATAATTATTATTAGATATTTCCGAGATTCCTCCCTAAGGTAGGTACCGAATGTCCGCTTCGGTAAACTTCTTTTTTTAATTTTTGTATTTTGTTACTTCATATATATTTTGATTATATTGAAGCAATTTATTTTGTCACGATTTATATCAATTTTGGAAAGATAACATACTAACTGATACACGGCATATTGAAGCCGCAAAATAAATAATTGTGCCACTGTTCAAGCTAAATCATTTGAAATGCTGATTGACGTTTGCTATTTATCATTTACTGATTACATATTTATTATTAATATTTAAAATATGATAAATGGAAATAAAATATTGTAGAATAACAAATACATTGCCACTAGGGACGGAGGGGATTGCAAGTAATGGAAACTAGTAGCCACATTCCTCGCAATATCAGGTCATAAACAACTGTGTCTAGTCGACCTCCATGGACCCAGGAATCTATCGTAGTTAATTCGTCACTGGTATGAAGTCAGGTTATCCAATCATCCTCCACTGGCGGCCTGCCAGTTTATACCTTTAACGCAGGAGTGTGCATCAATCTATTGTTTACCATGAAAAAAATACATTCCCACTTCATTCGGTACATCTATTATAAGAAGTAATAATTAAACATAATTTTATGGTGGTGGTTAAAAATGACCGAGGCAGACTTTGTAGGAAGTAGTTTGCGTAGCTAGCGCAGTCTCGCCTATTTCAGTCGGTAAGCAATTGTAAGCTGTTTCGATTCGATGGTGAGATAGGGCAGAGAAATTACATGGTAGAAGCATAACGTCGTATTTCTCCGGAAGGGCAACGTATGAAAAATGCCACGGAAGTTACACGGTTCTATCCCTTTTCTGTATAATATATAAGCAACCGTCACCACTTGCGTTACACTTATGGATCACCCGATGGTAATCAGGTGATCCATGGACTTAAATTAGGTCAGGCCATTGCAATTTCACAAAAAAAGAAATACAAACATATATAGATTTTTACATATTCGATTATTTAATTATCTGTATATATGCCTAAGTTTAGGCTAATATTTCATGTGAAAATGTAGTGGCCTTTCAGTTCATACTATTTATCACATATATACTATTAATGTTATATAAGAAATAAAAAGTATCAAATTACTTATAGACGAAATATGTACTCCCCCGTCTAAAAATAATAACAACAAATAATAGCATATATGAAACGAATGATAGTGAAATCTGGAAATGCTAAAATAATATATATTTCATTATTATTATAAGTTGCCCGCCCCGGCTTTGAACGGGTGCTTTAAACTTTGTAGGTTCAGTACATGTATCTATACATATAAATATTATTGAAGTGTCTGTTTGTAATATTGATATAAACGTTTTTTACTACATGCATATGAATATAATTACGGTACATACACCAAAATAACATTTTTTTAAGTTTTTGGATGTCTGTCTGTCTGTTTGTTCTTAATCAATTGGTTACTAATCAATAATAAAAAAAATATGTTTAACAAAATAGCGTCTATTTAAAAAAAATTGTTGTTGTGACTTATAATAAATAAAAACTGTTTCTATAAAAAAATCATAAAGAGACTTTTTTTATTCCTCGCAACTGCGTATAACCCCTTAATTATACACTTAAGATATGAATACAAGATTTTTTGGCTTTATAAGAGGGTTGTCTTCCACAGCCTTCGGAACTTGAAACCGCTAAACCAGCGCAAAAGTGAAGTTAGCACGAATTGAACGAATAGTTAGAATAGGTTAAACCGATGCTCTTTCATTTCATGCGATAGAGTCTTTACTTTAAACGACTAATTACACAACATTAGCAATTGATGCCTAGTTACACGGACATTTTTACTTGCACCATATAGAACAAATACATGTACATATATTATTTTTAATTGCATCGTTATATTATTATCAATATTTTAATATTGAGTGATATCGATCATTTTTCTAATCTAATTGTTATCTTTTAATCAAGTGTAAATTTTTTTGTTTGTTTTAGATACCTACGGCTTCCGATATGTTAATTTATCGTACAGTACTCCATTACTAATATTTTAATTTTCTAAATATTTGCAGCAAGTGCTTTGGAATGCTACGTCTGCCGCGGATGTCACGATGTGACTGAAGACGATATTAAGACTTGTTATCCGCGGACAACCACGCAAGCACCAACCACAAAATCTACGACCACGGAATCTACGACCACGGAATCTACGACCACGGAATCTACGACCACGGAATCTACGACCACGGAATCTGCGACCACGGAAACTACAACCACAGAAACTACATCCACGCCTACGACCACGCCTACAACCACGCCTACAACGACGTCTACCACCACAGAAACAACAACCACGCCTACAACGACGTCTACCACCACAGAAACAACAACCACGCCTACGACCACGTCTACCACCACAGAAACAACAACCACGCCTACGACCACGGAGTCTACGACCACGGAGTCTACGACAACGGAGTCTACGACCACGGAGTCTACGACCACGGAGTCTACGACCACGGAGTCTACGACCACGGAGTCTACGACCACGGAGTCTACGACCACGGAGTCTACGACCACGGAATCTACGACCACGTCTACCACCACAGAAACAACAACCACGCCTACAACGACGCCTACGACTACAGAACCTACGACCACGTCTACCACCACAGAAACAACAACCACGCCTACAACCACGGAAGATACGACCACGGAGTCTACGTCCACGTCCACGACCACGGAGTCCACGACCACGTCTACCACCACAGAAACAACAACCACACCTACGACCACGGATGATACGACCACGGAGTCTACGTCCACGTCCACGACCACGGAGTCTACGTTCACGTCCACGACCACGGAATCTACGTCCACGTCCACGACCACGGAGTCTACTTCCACGTCTACGACCACGGAATCTACAATCACTCCTACGACCACGGAAGATACGACCACGGAATCTACGTCCACGTCCACGACCACGGAGTCTTCTTCCACGTCTACGACCACGGAATCTACGACCACGGAAGATACGACCACGGAAGATACGACCAGGGAATCTACAAACACGACAGATACGCCACAAAGTCGGCTCTTGGTGAGTTTGTTTATCCTACATACGCATAAATAAAAGTTTTCTAAAATAATAAAGACAGTTTGCAATTAATCTATGAAATAGTACAGACATATTTTTTTTATTTTTAGAATAGGAACCATGCCATTATAACGTAACTAAACTGTATTAGAAATTTATAACATACTATGTATATATGTAGATATACCCTCGGTAGTAGATATAGTGGTCGATAGCACACCTCCTTACTTCCGATGATTGCGGGTTCGATTCCTCGCATAGTATAAACATTTATATTCGTACGTATAAGTATTATTTTTTGTATCGTAATATTGCGTCTAATAAAATATACTCAATAATTTAAAATGTTTTCGTATATTCTATTTCAAGTAACGGCTTTTAATTTTTTGAAACAAAAATATACAAAGGTTACAGTTATCAATTGAAGTGTTAATATAAATAAAATATACAATATACGTTATGAATAAAATATGTCTACGTTACTACTAAATAGTCTACGTTTGAAATACCTATAAGATAATGAGACTGTCTTATCATCATACTTTACAATTACATCAATACATATTAATAGTACACAATAGTACATTAGTAACAGATAACCTTGATAAAGGGAGAAAATGTCTCTCTGTTTTCATGGATTTGAAAAACTATCTCTCTACCGGTCCTTGTGAAGAAACTGGAAAAGATTGGTGTTTTTTGGATTGTGATTGGTTGGGGTTTACAACTTTCTATATTCAAACATTACCTATACAACAGAAAACAAAGGGTAAAACTGGAGCAATATAACAGCGGAGATGTAAACGTGTCATGTGGAGTCCCGCAAGGAAGTGTCTTAGGATCTACTTTATTCCTTATTTATATTAATGATCTCTTCAACATAAATCTTAAAAATGCCAAAATTTTATCCTATGCCGATGATACTGTCATTGTCTTCACTGGTCCTACCTGGAGTATTGTAAAAAGGAACACCGAGCTTGGTATGGCTAAAGTTGCTAAGTGGTTAAAGTACAATCTTCTTACCCTAAATACTAGTAAAACAAATTGTGTTTGTTTTTGGTATTTATAATAACTCGCAGCCAGAACAAGATTACAATATAAAAATCCATAATTGTAATTCTTACTCTATTGATATTAGGTGGTTCTGCTATTTTCAACACTGCATCTAAGTCGCCGCGATAAAGTGTAGTTGCCCTACTATAAACAAAGTGAGTAATATAAAATACTTAGGTGTTATAGTTGACCATCGTTTATCTTGGTATCCCCAAATAGAACAAGTCTCCACAAGGATTCGGAAGTTTATTTGGATTTTCAAAACATTGAGACATATAGTACCAAGTAATCAGACATCCCCACACAGCTCACCCAATCTTTTAAATAAAATATATATTGCTTTGATACAATCCATAATTATGTATTGTATTCCTGTATGGGGCGGTGCATTCAAGTCGCGTTTCCTAGAAATACAAAGAGCTCTGCTCAAGGTAATGTACTTGAAAAACCGACGATTTCCTACTGATGACTTATACCGGATCACGGATCTATTGTCTGTGAGAAAATTGTACATATTAAACGCAGTTTTAAAAAAGCATAAAGAATTTACATACGACCCAGCTTTAAAAAATAAAAGAAGAAAACTTAAAGTTGTATCAGTGCCAAAAACAAAAACCAAATTCGTGAGTATAAAATGTGAAAAGCAAACTGCACTCTTGTTTAATACAATAAATGAAATATACCCTAAAAGTTATCGTGAGTGTAAAAATATACTGATAGATTGGATAAAACATTAAATTATAATGAAACTGAATTACTACTGCATCATTATCGTCACTGCTAAAACTGTTATGCAAGATTACATACACACACACACACATATGTATATATATTCCTATAATGTATGTATTTAATATTGAATTATATAACTAATTATAGTATAATAAACAAGAAACATTTTACAAATGTTTGATGTAAGCTATGGAAGAGTGGAGCCTCCTGGCACAGGTATCTTTATGCTTAAAAGAAGTCTTCAACAACTGTAAAATGTAATTGTAAAATTGTGTTAACTAAATAAAGAATTTTGAATTTAGAATATATGAATTTTAAACATATATATAAATTAAATTTTAATATTTTTATATCAATTAAATAATCATAATAAATATCATAAAGAAAGAAAAATTACCATTTGCATAAGTTCCCCATTACTCTCAATATACACCATCATGCATGGTATTGCCAAGCATTTTATATTTTAATTCATTAGAATCCTCCAGAATGGCAACCTGTCCAGTCCTTAGTTTGTCACTTAAATTACTGCCTGTCTGTAAAAGTAAACTATTATTGTTTTCACTTTTCATCAGATAGGCCGCCAGCTTGTTTGCCATTCTAGTAATATAAAAGAATTACATGAAACACTCTATTATCTAGCCTTGCTGACAATGTAACAAAATTAATAATTCGTAATTCGAATGAGATAGGGTATATAAAGGTAAAAGCCTTTGTTATAATTGCGCCTTCTTGTTTCAGCGCCATGTTCGTTCTTATTCAAGAAAAACTGTATTAAACCGAGAAGAAAACGGCGACAATGAGCCACGATGCTTTGTTTCAGTCTTCCAAAGTAAGTAGATTAAGTAGATTGTTATCGATACATACTTACTATTTATATCACAAGAGCGATCATAGGATACTTTTGAGCCGAATTCATGCTAGCAACGTTGCGGGTATGATTGTTACTCTTTTACTCAATAATAACTAAACGGATAATATTTGGTACACAATAGATACCATAAACTAACATGTCGGATAATTTTTACCCGATTTCAAGTATCAAGTCCCACAAGATATAAGTTGCAGAAACAGAGCAAATGTGTTTTCTAGTGAAATATAATTAAGTTTATCACAATAACGGCCGGTCCGTAACACTTGTGATTGGCTTCTTTTTGTTTGGAGTACAATTCCAATATTACCTATATAAACAGAACAATGTTATTTATAAGGTTTCGATATTTGTCGCGGATAAACCAGCGAGAAATATCGTATATAAAATATTTATAACAATGTTTCATTTCTGTAGACAACTGTAACATTCAATTCAGGGCATCCCTATGGACAATCGGGATGGAATATTACAGTTGTAATGTATAATACGTAATAATTTCAGTGTACATTAGTAATTCAAGTGTAAACTCGTCTACAACCTGATTTCAACTTTATTTTTATAAACATTAAGTTGAATGTATATATGTCATTAAGCTTTAAAATGTAGTCAAAATTTTCGCTTTCGAGAATATTTCGAATTTATGACAAAATATGACATAACAGTGTCAAACTTTGTTACAATTATTCCAGTATGTCATAATTTATGAATAGCCCCCAACATGTCTGTTATTTCAATAATTAATCTTATTTCAGTAAACGGCGAGACTGATGTGATCCGTGGCTGCGCGTACGCATCTGATGTTGATGAGGGTGACAATTCTCGGTGTAGCCAGGCATTACTGGAGGAAAACCTCAGCGATGCGGATTTGCAAAGTTGTAGAATTTGCGACGAAGGTCTTTGCAACAGATCCACGAAAACAGTCATCGGTTTCGTGATTCTTGTTGCCAGTAGTCTAGTTCACTTTTTATAAATTAACATTTAGAATAATGGATTTAAATCATGTGCGTGTCATTTTAACTATGAATTCGTTACGATACTATATCTTAAATATCGTACTTCCGAACCGCGTGGAGGTCGACCTGACATTGTACATTAGGTACTATCAATGGGGTCCTAGTCCTTACTTACTATTACAACTAACAATCTCTTTCCTCTCTGCATAAGTATATCTGATTGTTTGTTATCTTTTCACAAGTATAACTCAAGATATTAATAAAATTTCACGAGAAACATACATAAAAACTTCAACTTCTGATTTTTTAAATATATTTAAAAAAATATATTATACAGTCATAGATTTCATATAAGTAACGGATACTTTCCACATACACAAATCTTAATATTAAGTAATTATTAGTGTTTCTACAATATAAGACACGACACAAATATCAATCTCATTGATTTTTGTCTAGAATCGATATAGAGATTATGTATTTATTAATAAAAACTATGAATCATGGAGGCATTATTTATCTATGTGACGCAATTTAACGACAGTAATTTATTTCATACATTAAACTGTTTATGTCCTCTTTTTTCAAACTACGTTCTTTATTTAAAAGAAAGTGACAAAACATTGTTTCACTTTTTATGAACAAGATAGAGATAATAAATCTTCTTGCAAACTCTTTACTTTTAGGAAAAAGATCACTCTCTGGTGTTATACAAATATAGTATAGTAGTATTTAAAACTAACAAATGTTACCTGTGTAAAATATGCATACATATGTATTTAAGTATATAACCCGTACATGAAATACAATTTTTGTGTGCAGTCTCTCTTTTATCTGATACGTTAATAGATACATTATACCTCAATGAAAGTAATTTTATTATCGTCGTATTTTATTTATTTATTATAAATAATTTATATTACACTTTATATGAATAAGTGTATCTATAAATTTATTGTTTGCCATCACTTAGTTTTTTAAAACATATTAGTTAAATGAAAATTAGTGCTTGTTGCAAAATACGTGTATGTAAACATATATGTGAAAATGAATACCGACAAGAAATGTTATCTGTGTATACGATATCCAATAAGTTTGTACCCCTTTTTAGGATAATTACGTGGACGAAAGAGTACAAAAATTAATTTGGTACAGTTGAAGTTTATGTGGAAACAGAGTGCAGAAAGTTATATTTTTTTATTAATAAAAAAAACATCCACACACCATCATAGAAATAGAAATAGAAATAATCTTTATTCAAATAAACTTAATATAAGCACTTTTGAATAGTCATATATTTTTTAATTATTCGGAATGCAGACTCATCACAAGAAGAATGAGCAATAAACTTCTGGTTTCTTTTTTAAATAAATATTGTTTTAATTAGATTTGCATTAACAAGGATTAGGCATGCGGCAATTAACATAGAAACCGCTATGCACTTAATCTCTGTTAAGTTACATAATAGTTTAGACAAACTGACAATAGAACTGTAATATCGATCAAACATAAAATTTTATTAAATTTCCACCACTGGTTATAATTATTCTGCCCTAATTGATTAGCAGCTAGTGACAAGCATGTACTATCAAAACAATCTCATATGTGACAGTCAAACATTAGATAACAGGTACTTACATATAAAAGGAAGCCAAACCAAACAAAGGAAATCACTAAGCTTGTAAATCAATTATCATTAATGTATACTTTTACGTAAGTATAAAAAGTGGTCTGCGTGGGTACCTCAGTCTCACCTATTTCTATATTTGTAAATTAATAAAATAATTTAATATATTTCTTTATTTTAAAATATTTATAATAAGTATTGAAAATGGTAATGAATTTTTTTATTACATCTAATTTATGTATTTTATTTTAACTCCTATGAATAGTCATAAGAAACATTGTTTGTCATTATTTATTCTGTCCGACCGAAGTCAAATTATAAACGATGTGATAGTGAGGAGCAATCTAGATCGCTTCCTGTTTCACTATGTGCGTAGAGCAATCTAGAACGATTTTTATGAGCTAAAAAAAAGGCCGGCTGTAAACATCTCTAAGAATGAGTCACCGCTACAGAAGTGGCGGTAGAATGCAAAAATACTTCCCGTGGCTTGCTTACTTGATGTACAGATCAACACCGTGGAGTTTTAGTAAGTAAGAATCTCACATAAGATCTCAAGAAGATTTGCTCTACGTTAGAAAAAGGTCATTTTTTTGTTGGTGGATGAACGTGAAATGACTGAGCCGCCTGTGGTAATGGTATACACTGGCGGTTAGATGATGGAATGAAGTTAGGTCAGTCAGTCCATCAGCAGAACTGATAGGTCACATTGTGCCAACACGGGAGCCGCTAGTCCTTATTACTAACAACCAACCCCCATCCCCCCCCCCCCCCTATTCAAGGACGCTTTCTCATAGTTTCATTTTATCCCTATCACAACTACAATATTGTGTGTCTACACAATTTTAAGAACATAAATTACAAGTGCAGTTTTTAAGATCTCTTCGCACACACTTAACAAATTAATGAAGCCATTCAAAGATGGACGATAGATTATAATGTGTACATGTATTTCTGTACTTTTATCCCATAGAATTTCAAACTCTACTACTGTTTTCAGTTCCTATAAATAAATGTATATGCGTCAGTGAACGTTATACCACTTATTAATTAGATAGATAAAAGATAATTCTTGAATATCAAAAAGTATAGATAATATTAATGGGAAAAACATAAAACTAATTATAGGCAAGGAAATACTGCATGAATAACATATAATATAAAATATCTTAAATCTTTATTATGTGTTATCTTGAATACTATTTCAGAAAGGATGTAAACTTAGGCATTTTGCAGATCATCCTCAAGTGTCATTTGGATATGGGTTTATCTACAGATATGACGTAATTCTTTCCGAGAACTAATTTGATTTTTTAATCTAATTCACGTTGACAGTTTTTTAAAATTCAGTTCATACAAATATAAAACTGTGTTAAAGCTTAAGTATTAGACATGAACTAACCATATACGAGGGTAGTAGGAAGATAGTTAATCATCAAAAGTATCTTCTTCGTCTTCTTCGGCAGGTCGTTTCCAGGCGGCACGGCTCGTGGTCAGGTGTTGGTGCCATAGCTTGTCTATTGTAATTATTGCATAAGCGGACCATTTGGCTGTGATCTACTTCCACTTCTTATTGTCCACTCCACTCCAGAACACACTCGTTCCATCTACAATCGTTACGGCGACATACGTATACGGTCCATAACCATTTTAACTTAATTATCTGGTATCCTACAACAATTACCTACCTCAGTTTTACTCGATTTGATGTACCTACATATTTTGAATTCCACTGCGACCTAGATTTTATGTATAACCCCAAAGTGAGAGTCCACATCAAGCATGCGTAGATACATATGTACATAATGACTTAAAGAACATATCTATCCTAGTCTTCAATAAGTGCCAATGAACTGGCATTGGCACATTTTGGCAAATTTGAATAGAGCATATATATGTATTTAAAATCGAATGTATATATCTATACTAATACTATAAAGAGGAAAGATTAGTATTTTTGTGTGAATGTATGTATGTTTGTAATGAATAAACTCAAAAACTACTTTCCAGATTCTAAAAATTCTTTCACCATTAGAAAGCTACATTCATCCTGAGTAATATAGGATAGGAGTATATTTATTGCTAGAAAATGTTAGGAATCCTTACTAAAACTTTAGTAACGAAACTCAAGGTGTAAAAAAATGGCATAAAATATCTTTCGTCGCGTGCGCTGCGGAAACTATTGCTGATAGAATAAAATCTACAATATTGAAGAACATATCGATAATTATAAAAAACTTCGTGAGCCTGTATGTCTAACTATTATCGTCATATCACAATAACCACTTTTTACATTTTAAAAGTTGGTAGAAATACCGACCAAACTTACACCATGTTATTCATACTTCTGTTTAAATCCTTATCTAGATAAATCATATTGTTTTCAAAACTGTTTCAATTTGTGTACATTACTTTTAAATTGTTCAAATCCGCTACTCTATTCAGTAGATATTACGAATTTAATAAGTTATAGAAATAGAAAAAATAACGCTGTCCCGTTATACATGTTATTCATACCTATTTATTAATCCTTATTCAAATAAATTATTTTGTATTCAAAATTGTTTCAATACCTGCAGATTACTTTTTGAATTTTTCAAGTCGTAGGTGTATATTCCATTCATCGGATCAAGCAATTTTCTGTGTCAGAAATGCTCATGACGAAATTGAAAATTATTTAAAAGGCCGATATATCAATACATCTGAACAGTGTGGAGATTGTTAGAGTTTCCTATCCATGACAGACACTCTACTGTAGTACACTTAGGCAACGGACAACGAGTAGACTTCCCAGCGGAAAACAGTAGAAAATCCACCAAAAACGACACTCACGGCATTTTTGACCTATGCAGTAATAACGGATTTGCTACAATACTACTCAATGCTAACAATATATTTTCTAGAAGGAAACGTGGGCAAGACGTAGTTGGACACCCCGGCATAAAAAAGGATGTGGCATTGGGAAGAATATACAGTATTCATCCTTCCCAGTCAGAACGTTTTTATCTCTGGATACTACTTCATCATGTACGTAGCCCAACATCGTTTCAGGATTTAAAAACAGTTGATAAAAAACTTACGAAGCCGCTTGTCAAGGTAGAGGTTTGCTAGAAGATCAGATAAAAAAAACCCGTACGAAGCCGGGACGGACCACTAGTATATATATTCAGATTTTATATCTTATACTAATTTGAGTTATGTGTGTTGTAAATGTTGTAAGGCATTATTTAATAATTAGTATTTTATGATTTACAAGTTGCAAACTAATAGTATTATGTTATAAATTTATAAATTCTTTATTATATTATTAACCGGGTCTCAACACATCATGACTTAAGAATACAAATAATTTATATTAAACACGAAGGTTTAAAAATAACTATAATAAATACTTGTTGCGATCTACTGCACTAATAACATAATTTAATATTTATTTATTGGCAGAATTGAATCTGAGATAATTTATTGTATTAAGTAATGTTTTACTTGATAATTCATCGGCCCTGACAATTCAATAGTTAACTTCCCAAAATTAATCTGGTTTATCATTTTAATCATGATAACCCTAAAACCCATATTCAATTCAAAATAATAAACTTGTCCATGCGTATTAGCCTTATCTACAATTGAAGTGTTCATATATATGTATATATATATAATATTAACCATCTGCTTCTTCTGTATCCTATTTATTTGGGGACGGCGTAATATATTTATCTCTTTCATTCATCCCTCTTCGCAGTCATCTCGTTATTTACTCCCTATCTTATCATATGAATAAAAGAAATGTATAGACAGATGGAATAATAGTCCTCAAGCCAGAAACAGATTTTGTGATGACCAGATGACCAAATTACTCTCAGCCAAAAACTTCTAAAAGAATGAAAATACTAGATTATTATTAGCATTATGTACTCTAGTGAACAACAATAATTACCATTTAAGTCTTTAGCCGATAGGAAATGATTAACCAAATTTTGCTGGCTCTCGAGCCATATAAATATAAATGCTAGGATTCATTTTAAAGTAAATTACAAAAAAAATTGATACATTTGTTAAGTACGAATATTACACCCATAGCTGCAATTATTCGATTTGTATAGGTACATAATACTCAAAGTAATATAATTTAATTAGATCTATCAACGGTATTTGCAATCAACTTACAATTACTGAATAGGTCTTAAACTACTTAAGATAAAACTATAATAGCTATCTACAGTAATCTCCACTGAACTTAAAACAAAGTATGAAAATAGTGTAAGTATCTACATCAATACTGATTTGCATTTACAATGTCCCAATTTATAATTGAAGGAATTTCTAAATCTAGGCTTTCGTAATGTAATATTGTAATCTTTCCGCACAGAGAATAAAAAAATTGCATCAATATAGAGTAAATTAAAACCTTTTGTATTATAAACAATACAATTGCAAAATTGCTGACGGTCTAACTGATAACAAGAGATCGCCTATGTACCTACATAGATGTCATAGATGTGACGCTCATGATTCCCCTTATGCTAATAAAATTAATAATAATAACCCATGACAATTCACACAACGCCATAAAGTCCCACACAAAACATTGTTTCGAGAGGAATTGCATCCGCGACCATCGGAAGTTAAGCGGTGTAATCAACCCCTAGATCACAGAAGCCGTCAACCAGTAAGTTAGGGTAACTTAACCTTAATACAACCTTCAAAGCAAATTGAGTGGCAGCAGAAATATCTAATACAGAAATACCCACATAGACTACTTTATATAAAGTATAGGTTACCTCTGACTTTGTACAACGTCTATTGTAACTTCTTCTTATAGTCGTTGAGTACGAGATACGTATTCGTATTTTTTTATCAATAAATGGTTTAGTAGTAGTATTTAATATTCTCATATCTGTGTTAGTGTGAAAGTGTATATTTATTCTACATACCTATTATTTTTAATTGAAACATGTTCTAGGAAAGTAGGTGCCATTTGCTAATCAAGTGATGATAACACGTTATCATGTCAGAAGGTAATTGACACAATTAATTAAGGGACATTACACGTCCATAAACAAAAGCAACTAATACATGAATGAATGCTACTTAGTACTAAAACAATAGTAGTAGTCTTTGGTTTCAACTTCGATTTTATTTACAATTCAAATCTTGCCATAGTTTGATATAACTATGTACTCATGTTTTGTCATTCATTCTTAATCGGTTTTATCAATTACAAGTAAGAAATATTTTTATCGTCATAGAGTAGCAGCAAATCTACTGACATATATTTAAAAAAAAGACGCTGAAACTACTGCAGGCTCGGAAATAATGGTTCATTAATTTGACTGTCAATTGTTTTATCACATTGCTTCAGTGAAAGGAACATTAAAAATAAAAATTATTAAAAGTTAAAATTAGTACATTATTAAAGCAAAAGTGATCACAGGCCCTGTTTCGCACGAATTCGCATTATTATTGTGATTTTCTTTCTTTTCGAAAATAAAATGAGCAGTAACGGCAGCATTACATTTGCTTTATCTACGAAATGAGATGAATTTTTTTTATATCTATACATTACAAACAAATTAAGTAACTGAATAATATTAAGTAAAAAATACTTATTGAAAAAATTATTTAACATATTAATTTTGTCACATCCGAATCTCTATGTAAATAGTACGTCACAAATTATGTCCAACAGCTAGCTGGTATTTACTTTATTACCAATAAATTAGAAATACCTTTGTCTATTATCTTATCCACTATCTAACTGTCATATAATAAAACTTAATACAATGAAATTTTCCTGCAACTATAAAGTAGTAAAATTAGCCGTCAATATGCCTATTTCTTTACGTACGTTACTGTCATAATAGACGAAAGGATTAAAAAATATGCGAAACAATATATTATATTAACAAAACTATATACAAATTCTATTCATTGTCTATTACTACCCATAATAACATTTTAAATGCGAAATTATATTTATCTATTTTTTAATAAAATTTAACAGTAAGATAAATTGAATCAGAATTGACAGTTCTCATCTCAAAAAAACATACAAATTACGCGGATAACAGCTAGTGTAAATGCTACATGTCTAGGAGCACATATTCTTTTATCTATGATATATAGTAATATTGATGTAGTGACTGATATCTGATATCTGACTTTGTGTTTTACCGTAACTCCGTTGCGATTCGCACGAGTGATTGCATACTTTTAGGGTCACTCAAGCATGCTGAATCTGTTGATTGCGATAACATGCAAATATAAATTATTGCTACTACCTATACTCTCAGTCGTCATTTAGTTTATAAGAAAAAATGTTCACACTTGTCATTTTCAATTATTTTACCTTTTGTTTGATATGTCGTGTCGAATCTTCAGGTAGATAATAAAGTGTATACTATATTTTAAATGAGGGAACTTGTTATTATGATCTGATTAGTTACTATTGTGGTCGCGCCTCTACGATCAGAATGGCTCAAATGAGTTAATATTACATTTACATATATACTTAATTAAATATGTATTTATATATACAAGCAGAACCGGCCACGCGTTGTTGTGGTTAATGTTCTTGAATAAAATAATATTGCAGTCAGTATCAGTATCAAGTTTGATCACACTGCTTACAATGTGGAAATCAAATTTGCAATCGGTTCAGCAGTTTAGGAGTCCATCGCGAACAAACAACGTGATATGTAATTTTTGTTTATAAAGATATTTTGAGGTATATTAAAACATTATGCGAGGTATTGGTACCAGCGTTTTGGGAATAGTTTTTGTATCAATTGTGACCGCACTTATTTAGACTTTATAATAAAATATATCAATATTACTAAATTTGTATCTATTTTATGTCTTCTTTCTACTATTTAATGTAAACTTACAAAAATAAGAAAATGCTCGGAACCGCTGATACATGTCACGTCTACTATATATTTACTTTCTGTATGTTACTTTATGTAACCCTTTTAAAAATCACTTTCACAACAGACGGTGGTATTTTACTGACAAAGGATGCAAATCAAGATAACGTGAATTTAGAGCGAACTGACAAAGATGCCGAGGACAGATCTTTGGTTTTAGCACAAGCAAATACCGGAACGAACCAATACATGGCTGGAATAAGACCAGTTCCATACTTAACACCAGTAGAATGCTATGCCTGTACCGACTGCCCAGTTATACATCTGAACACGACAACAAAACAATGCCCATATAGTAATGATTACACCAAACGAAATAAGTGTGTTGTATATGTTGAGAAATATAAACGTAAGTATAATACCGATATGAATGACTAATGTAAAGGAGGAGACTATGTCGATAAGAAAGGGAATCAGTTGAAATTTATTAACAAAAATAGAGTCGAATCAAATGTTTATTGTATGTAATTAGTGCGCTGAAATGTATGAATACTTATTGTATTCATAGTTGAAAAACATCAAAATTTGTTCATTCTTATTTAGTATGTATGTTAATAGATAATAATAACCTTGTACACTTCACACAGCGCTATCAAGTCCTAAGCTAAGCAGAGCTTAGGTTATAGATACTAGACAACTGATATGATATATATATCTAATTATATTACCAAACAATATCTAAGTATGTATTAGTTGTCTAGCATATATATGTATATATATATATATTATATATAATATAAATAGAAAATACCCAGACCGAAACAAACTCAAGAATTAATAATAATATTTGAATCGTGCGAGGACTCAAACCCCCGACCATCAAAAGAAAAGCGGTGTACTAAACCGGTAGACCGCCTAGGTCATCGTATATAATCAAATATATACCCAATACATATAATAAGAATGTCAGCTACATTCTCGCCTTCATCGCCATCTATCCACGATTAGGAGCGATATGAGAACGTAATAGTACCCACAATTATTGTTAGAATTTTTGTATAGTATTTGTTTCGTCATTATTTTTATTAATTTATATATACGTTTCACACACGCAGTCTAAGTGAATTGAAATGACCAATCACTGACCAGTTTCTTGACTGGTCGTACTATAGCCAATCGTAATAGCAATCAACTGATCACGTGACAATTTTCGTGATCAGAAATCTTGTCTCTCGATTCGATGCGAACGGCGGTTGCAACGTAGCTAAGTGTTATAAAATTCAAATTTAAGCCAAAGAACTGTTGAACCATTATCATTCCTGAAGTTGTGAAACTTGAAGTGGACAGCAGATCCGAAGTGGAAACCCGAAGAGCAATACGCAACAAAGGATCGATCCCCGGCTCTTCCAGGGGAATATACGACGATCCGGCTATATGTAAGTAGTGCTTGGTCAATATCTTTCCATAAAGACTGGCGTGTGTAATCGTCTTACATAAGCTGGGTCTCCCAAAGTGTCATCGGTTCTACCGAATTGATACACTATTTGTGTGCGCTAATCTCAGAAACGGATTAATTGATTGAATTGGTACGGTTTTTACCAAAGAATTATCGTAAGCTTTTCTTACAGTTGAATGTTTCTATATTCAAGTGAAGTTATACCGTACCGTAGGTACCGATGTTAATAAGTCTATAGTAGATTGCTCAGAACAAAGCTACAATCGCGTATTTGTATTGGTTGTGTACTATAATTTTATTACCCATATTATTCTACAATATTCTTACAGACACGAAGAAACCCTGGTACATAAGAGGATGTGCATCCGAGCGCAGTTCTTGTACCGAAATAAGGAGAGCTCACAATCAACTTTCAGATATTGTCAAATTAGTAAGCTGTCAGGAATGTGAAGGAGACAGGTGTAATGCAAGTATATCCTGCTCACTCTCCGATTTTTTGATGGCATTTTTCGTCTTAGTATTTACTCCGTTTTCTTTAAACAAATTGATTTAGTGATTTTATTATAAACACTGCATTATAAAGTCAGACACGTTTGCTACTGGTATTAGAAAGGCTTGATAAATTACAAGTGTATAATAAATATACTATGGATATGGATACTCATACATTACCACTATAATCAAATGTTTCATTAATTTCTACAAATACTTTGAAGAAAAATTATAGATTTGTAACATTTGTTGTTTTATTCGTAGATATATGATAATGAGTATCTACTTATTATCTTATTAACCAAAATACTTAAATAGCTTTAGTAAAATTAAGAGTTACAAAATTAAAAAGGAGAATAAAATAATGTTCCTATAAATTTCATAAATTTTTTTACAACTTAAACTTATATCTTACTTGGGTATTGATCTGATGAAAAGTAAAACCCTTATTTTTAAAAGTAAGGTACCTACTACTAGTATTTTTAATCACGTTACTTTAAAACAGAAAAATGGATCTACAAGTCTATTTTGGAGCCAAATCACAATATGTATTTCAATACAATACAGTTTTACTGCTCTTTTAAAATGTAATCAAAAATAAACTAAAGAAATTTATAACAATTTCTGTTAGTTCTTTCACAAAATGTGAAATTAATATGTTGCCAGTATGTAATTCAAGAGTTAAAAGTTGAGCAAAACTAATGTCATAAAATCGAAATTCGGATGCAGAGTAGACTGACTGAATGTGATTATTAAGAATTATTGAAAATCATCACATGTATATATAAAATGTCTTGTGTGGTCTTCCCCTAGAGAATACTGTTTATGTTGAACTCAGAAAAATTGAAATATTAGAAAGTAAATTAACGTCGAGATTGTAAAAAACAATCAAGAAATTACACAGCTGCGTGAATAGACATTTCTTGGAAATTTCTAATCGTTTTTGATAAGCATTAATCCTATGATTGCATCATTTTATTTCTTTGAGGCTTGTTTGCTAGGTAGAAATCTGAATTAGTCACTTTTTTAAGGTCAGCATCGTAATTCCAACCTGTCGTCATCCACTGTTGATGATGCTCCCTAGAAAGTTATATGATTCTCTAGGCAAGTGTATTCTTTATTACGATAAGGTCTAAAAACTTCAGTGTGAAAGGAATATTATTTTACATAAATTGCATAAAGCAGGTTTATGTTTACATAAGTGTTGTACTTTTTTGCTTTAACATTTCTTTTTTCTTTAACTTTCGCAACTATGTAAATAAATATTAAATATTTATTTCTGCCTAATAAGATACCTTATTGTTTATTATCAAATTGGTACACAGAAATAACTATAAAATATATAGAAATTGTTATTCACTGAAGCAATGTGTGTCATTAACAACATTTGACAAAGGTAAATAAATATACTAATAGGTAATTCCCTGGACAGATGTAGTCATAAGAATATATATGTTATCTACATACCAGTTGATGAGGATTAGCAAAATAGATATTGACAAAATGTTTTATGTGCTAATGACAGAATACAGAATGGATTTCTCGCCTGGTTAACGGTATACTCTGTCGAAGCACCAGTGAAGGATGATAGGACAGGAATCATTATGGTCAATTCATAAGTAATAATCATGAAAGTTTCCAGGAGTAACCACGTGGAAGTCGATCCGAAGAGGTAAATTATTTATAATAGGGCCACTAATCCCCATTACGCAACTTTATTTTCTGGAGTCGAGCGAGCGTAGTAGCATTAGGCTACTATGCTCTCATTGTATATAGTTTATACAGGGGGGAAGGGGATTGTTGCCCATTGCTAGCAATGTAGGTCCATGTCAGGTCGACCTCCACGCGGTTCCCCCTGGAAACCATCGTGTTCAATTCCTAGTGAATTTTGTCACGATGGGCTAACTGACCTGACCTCATTCTCTCATCTTATCATCCTCCACTGGTGCTCCAGCGTATGCCATTAGCGCAGGGTGCACCATTCGATTGTCATCCACAACAAAAAAAAAGGTTTATACAGCTTAACAAAGTTCTGAATTCAAATGTTACAGCAATATTTAGCATGGACAAATCAACGGCATTCCTCATGCCTCATTTAGTTTCGAGTAGTAAAGACTATCGTTGAAATTCGTCCGTCCGTAGACCGAGCCCTTATTTATAATTTCTTAAAAAAAGAGTTCGGGTAGGCGAATGCATGGTCGGTGTAATTTCATATTATCATTAAACAGAAAATAATGCAGCAAACCTATATTTTTTATTCCGATAGATTACTTTTCTAGATATCTTAATATGTATTGATAATATGTGGTATGCATTGATAATATAATAATATATCAACAGCAGTGTATAATCTGATAATTTCGCAATAATGCAGATATACTACAATTAAATCACTGTCTGTGTGATTTTTTAATCTCGTTAAATTATCTAATACTATATTATTTAAAATCTTGTGCTTTAATTCCAGAGTATTTAGTGGTAAATTTTACAGTAAACTATTATTATGTATAGAGTATTATTTGTGTGCTAATAAAAGTAGTAAGAAAATATAAAATATACTAAAAAACATTTATGCTATTTAAGAAAATACCGTGAGGCAACTGCATTAAAAAAGGTTTTGTTTTTTTTAATTACATATTCTTCATGTAATTAAAAAAAACAATTATACAACACTAGTTAATAGAAATTCGTTTAAAAATTTTAATAATTGAACCTACAACTGAAACACAGCTTACAAAGCAAGGTGCCTAGCGATTGAAATATATGAAACTGAGGCACCCACAAAAGATACGTGAGGCTATATCTCTGACTATTGACTATTATTATATTATAATTAAGTCACTATAACCATTTCTCGAAATATGGATAGAATCTAAAGATTAAGTTAATAATAATAATCAATGTAATGTACATTGACTTGTCCGAATAAATACTTTTTATAATCAAAGTTGTTTGTATTGATGCTACAGTAAGTATCATGTACCTAAGAATTCATGAACTAGTACAAAATATATGACTTAAACTAATATTCATCCTGTTATAACCTAATATAGCAGTCATTTACTAACGTGATATGTGTCACAATATTCGAAATATTACATTTGAAATAAAATAAACTGTTACAATTAAGAAACAATTTGAAATCCATAAGTCCACTACATATTTTATATAAACTAGAATATATATGTTATGTAAACTAGAACCAATGATAAACTGGAACAAAAGGATTTTTTTTTTATTTACACACAACAATTAAGTCGTTATTAAATTATAAATAGTCTTTATTCATTAATATACCTACCATAAATGATCATTTATGTCTACAGGTATTAAGAAAAGGAATGAGTTTGATAACCCTATGTGGGTCCATAAATGGCTAATAGTCTCGTTTCAGTATTCTTTAAACTGAACAATTTACCGTAAAAATAATTGCCGACATCTTATTATTTTGAGCATTGCATATAAATCTATTGATCATGTATATTTAGTAAGAGGAATCCAAAATATTTTCCGAACATTTCAGGGTGTCGACATAAATTCTTCAGTTTCATGAAGTATCACTAGTGTTGTCTTACTATTCTGGTATGACTAACTCTGTGTACATACTTAGCATTTTTTGTTTCAAAACACTTGGTTGCTTCAATATATATTTTTCTTCTAATTAAATGGCCTGTAAGTCAGAATATTTCGTATGTATTATATCTATATTTGTACCAGTATTTTAGTGAGAATAAAGTCGTACTAACTTGCAATTTCAAAACAGAATTGTTCGCATACAAAGTGTATAGAATATAGAATGCTAAATACAAAATATCAAAAACCACGTTATCTTAAAGTTTGCTATTGTTATTTCAGAAGGCGCTTCTAATTTATTCACGCGTATTATTAGCAATAATCAATAACAAAACATGTAAACTTATGTAAAGTTTACATGTTTTGTTATTGTTTATTTTGTTTATATAACATGTTATTATTTTTATTCAGTAATTATCTTATTACATTTTATTTAACATTACAAAAAATATTGCTACTGTGCCTCTTTTCCGTTGCTCTATTTCAGAAGATTAAATGTTTTTATGAACTATTGTAATGCTGATGCCTGTAGTAAAAGGGATAAGTGCAGAGGATGCCATGAAAAAACGTATGGTGTGGAGTTAAATTATATCCTGCCTGACAAATACGACTTCAGCCTGGTTGCATCGGTTCCAACCTTGGCCCGGGTCGTCGTGATGGAACAGAGGATCGAAAGGTGTAATACCTCTGCACTTGATTGATTCAGAATTGTTCTTACATCGTTCTTCAAAATGCTACACAATACATACATAAAATCTTTTGAATGATATACACCACGAAGACTATACATATATACACATTGTAGTCTCTACTAAAATGTACCTATGTTACTAGACGATGTTACGTTGAGATGTACTTATTTTTTTTTCGATCATCTCAAAAATCCGTCTTTTTATACTGTACCATTCATGTTCTATCCAATAAAGAAGAACAAACTATATGCAAGTGCTAACGCTAGGCATGTATGTATTAATATATTGTAAATGAAATTAACAAACGCTGAAGAGCAGAGTAGGCAGGTACCTATAATTTATTTTTATCTCTGAACTATTTCGATCTAAATATTTGAACACGAATTCAGCACAATGTAGGAAGTTCCCGATATGAGGATGACAATTGTAAAAATAAAACAGACCGTCAAATTGGAACAAACAACACCACGGGAGCATAGTAGTTTGTAAAAAAGTCAGAAGTCGCTTTTACCATATAACGATATTTGATTTATTTCTTTGCACAAACCTGATAAACTTGCGTAAGCATATCAGCAAAAAGTTAAGGACTTAACTCATCTCATATTGTTAATATATCTTGTTGACACATACCTACACAAGATAGGTAGGTACTAACTAAGATGTACAACATCTTATTACATGAACTTGACAATGCGTGACCGCCACAGTCTCTTAATTCCTTTACTTATCACATATTCTGTCGTATGTCATGTTAGACGAATCAGATTTTACCAAACTTCACTGACAATCAATTTAAAATTATGATAATGCGTGATGATTTAATTTGAGTATGACACAGAATGTTTTTGTTTTGTTTTATTGTCACAAATAATGCAATTATTTAAATAATGATTTTAGATCTAAAGACAATTTAGGATAGATATATATTTGGAATAGGATTTGAACTGATGGTTTATCTAGTTACTGACGTCACCTATATTAAGAGATAGGGTACAATCAATAGAAATTAATTACTAATGGAGTCTCAGGTGTCATTCCTCTGTGCCCTGTAACTTCACTACCATATCTCATTTAGACGGTGCGGCGCGACGTCTCATTTAGAATAAAGCGGTGTGCTAACCATCGCTTTACCTTATACAAATATTAAATAATTAGAAACGTTATTTAAATACGAATTCTAACAAGCTGTACAGGCCAGCTACAGCCAACAGCATAAGAGTAGTCCGAAAAAAAACATTTATCTATTTAGAATATAAACATTTTTCTATTAGAAACAAATAAAATAACCATGATATAAGAATTAAATGCTTGCTGTAACAAAAATATTCGTTCCCAAGACAGTGGCGACGATAGTCTTTCGTAATCCAAATCTTGAGTCAACTGTACCATAGAATAATTAGAATAATACTACAGACTGGACATGATAATATACCTTCTCATATTTGGCTTTGAATGTTATAAAAAACACGTTTTTGTCCCCTTTGTTCGTTTGCACAAACTTGCATCTATTATATTCCGCAATTCCATTATATTGGTTATACATTCTATCTTTATATTAAATTGCATTAAGATCCGTTCCGCCGTTTAATGGTGAATAGGTAACAAACAAACATACAAAGAGACTTTTGCATTTATAACATTAATATAACTTTATGAATATATATTTGTGAAAATTATCATTACTAGATACACGTACTGAAGCAGTAGTTTAATCAAGAAAGCTGCAAACAGATAATGTTAGTTGCTTTATTACTGTAGGTATATGTAAACATTTTAATTTAGGTATTGGCTATATATATATCTATGAAAAAAAAAAAAAAAAATACGATGATAAAATTATATTAATTAAAAACATATTTATTAAAGTACTCCAAGAATTTATTATGTTATTTTATTTCACCAATGATGTAATTTGAATTTGTATGAATATACTTCTGTTAATGACAGAAGCTCCACTTCATTAGAATACTCTATGTCATATTTTTTTTATGATTGTTTGATTATATTGATTATATATTGTCGTTTATCTACAAAGATAACCGGAATTATTATGCAGTAATTATAATTATGATAATTACTCGTATGAACAGGAATAATTAATAAAAACAATTATTATTACCACGAATCACTAAACAATGTACAGTCTATTTCACAATGATCTTTGATACGCCTTGTAGTAAACGCAATAAATAGACAGCGTAGGGTATTCGCGCCAAACGCTGCGCCCATAAAATAGCCACAAAAATGCGGTTGAAACGTCGAGCGTTTCAACCGCATTTTGAATTTACTTGAACATAACTATTATTATTGCTTAAGAATTAAGAAATCGATAAAATAGTATATAAATATAAATATAATAATAAATTATATATATACATTTCTAACAAAAGTGTCTAATTATAACTACTATAATAAAATTGGCCTTTTTCCTTGATTTCGCGATTAGATGTAATTTTTTTGTAATCTGAATAAGTTCTATTTAATTTATGAAACAGACTAAACATGATCTATCATTTCATGTTGATAACAAATTCGTGATAAATTATTTATTAGTCATGTTTATGATACTGAATAGCAATTTATCATAAGTATATATATCCCAGGTTATTAAAGTTCATCAATTTTAAGATATAAGAGGGACTAAATTTGTATTGTTCATCATATTCATTAATATGTATGTATATTATATTGTATGTATAGCAGTTAACCTTCAAAGGATGACATTACTAATGTAAGTCTTCCAAATTATAGCAAATACGCTTTATAGAATTGGAATTTCATCTCCAAGCGTGTACGGTTTAAGTCTAAATTGTGAAATTTACGAAATTAAAGAAAAATATAACCTTAGGACTAGTAATAAAAAGCACTTCGTTGCAAACATTGTATGTACAGTATTTTTAATACTAAACCAATATAATATTAGACTTTGCAAACCAATAAGCGGTCGGAACAAAATAAACGCAAGTTTGTTTCTCACTCCCATCTAAGTACAGATCCGCTGAGCCCGTGAGCCGTTCACTCGCCATTCGTTCGTCGTCACACTCACGGGTCGTTCGCTGATAAACTAATTAAATATTTCGGAAATAGTGATAGTGATCTATATTTAACAACTCTCAAAATGGCAAATCTCGCGCTATTAGTGCCTGTACTGTTCCTAGCATTGTTTGTTGAATATGGTGAGTTTCTTATTATATACTTTGTTTTAAATAAAGCGCCGAGTTGTGTTTTGCTAACCCTCGACGTAAAAGGAAAAGACGAAGGCTTTGAAGTACAAAGCCTTCGTCCGTAAAACACGCAAATAAACATAAGTGTTATTTTAGCCCGTAAAATAAACACAAACACCTAATTTTAGTGTTCCTATTTTTATAGAAAAAAAGTCAAACTTTGGGATTAGTTATTAAAATTTATTTTAGTAGTTTATTGTACTTTTATATTGTACCTATTGTCTAAAATTTATAGAAAAAGGTATCAGTCGTGGCTATATTAATATGATATCAATATTAAAATAGAGTTATCCGAATAAAAAAAAGAATATCGATTTATATTATAAATAAGCAAATAAACATAATAGGATTCGACTAACGGCCACTTCATAAAGAAGGTTCTCAAAAGAAAACCTTTTTCTTTTTAAAGTTGTTTGATAAGACGCAATATATTTTCAAATTTCAAGGTCATTTGTATCAAGACTTCAAATAAAAAATAATTTTAATATTAGGTACTAATAGGTATTATGTATGATTTATATATATATTTATATAATATAACTAGTCCTGACTAACTGACCTTGATATATGCGTTAGGTTAGCCTACAGGTCGCTGCAGTTAGAGCCTAGGTGAATATAGGTTTAGAATTCGAGCATTTACGTACTACGAATTTTTTTTCCAGAACTTTTCTTAAGATATAAAGATTTATACCGGTGAAGATTTCGGAAATATCTAGTACTATATAGATAAACGTACAATATATTTTCTATATGAAGAAAAAACTTAAAAAAATGTATATACTTTAATGAGCTTGTTATTGTTATTTGATAAAGGAATGGAGACTCAACAGTTTTTTAACAGGAGATAAACAACACGTATATCGTAACTTAGCCCATTTACCTTACTCGTATTAATGTATGCGTACCAATTTTCTAAAAAAAATCCGCTTTGAAAACTTGATTAGGGTTTATTATAGGAACGTATTATGGAAAGATATTAAAAAAATCCATGTGTAAACAAAAATGTGTTCGTTATTTTATTAGCAGCATAGTAATGCGCATACCTATGTACAATAATTGATTTATAAATAGACAAGTGTTATTACTTAATCTATACCTAATTACCAATTGGAAATCGAGAATTCGTTCGTTTATCACAAAACACACGTTTAAAATCACTTGTTGTAATGTATCTTGACTTCTATGGACGTAAATCATTATGTCCATAAAAAAATAATTTAAGAATCATACTTCGGTTAAGTAATACGTTCATACGGATCTTATATTTTCAAGCCAACTTCAAAAAAGAAGGTTATTAATTCGACTACGTTTTCGATTGCGAAAATTACGAGATATCATTGCTAATTTGAAACTGACTTCGATTTTTCATATCTATTAAATTAGCTTAGGTGTCCATATAAATATTAAAATTTGTCTGTCTGTCTGTTTGCGAATTTTTACAACTCAACGACTGAATGAAGTTTAATGAAATTTGACGAAGTAAAATTCGATACGGGAATTAGACATAGGCTATCTTCTACCTTAAAAAAGGGAGACTAAGTTGCAAGGTTGTAAGGTTATAATTAGAGTGTTACATATTACGCTTCATTTTACTACTTATTTATTTACAACTTGTGGAATTTTGTGCTTACCTAAGGGCCAATCTGTAGAACGAAACCAAACCTGTTTAACCAGTTTGCACATTCAACGTTATAACTGCGAGAGGTACCTACCACCTACCGCTAAGGAAAGTTTATACACGAAGTTTTACTTTTAAATTCACATCGACATATTCCATTTACATTTATTGATAATCAAATAATTATATTATATTAATCAGGTTTACAAATCTTTAATTCTGGTTTTGAACAAGCCCTTGCTGTGGTAGTTGAGCAATTTGAAATATTAATAGAGTTAGGTATCTAAATACGTGACTGGAGTAAAATTAATTGAATTCAAAATAGTATCGATACGTTATGTTTTCTAATTCTACATTATAATTTGGATTTTTCTTTAGATTATATTTAGATAATCAGATATCATAATACTGTGAATAGCGTAACGATAAAAGGTTTTTTAGGCTTTTTATTCTTGTATTTAGAAAACTATACATATAATCTTTCTAATAACTTTATGTCAGCAAGTGGATGCTAATTACAAAATTTTATTCCTGTTTTAATTCAAGCAAATAAGTAACGATATTTTTTAGAAATTTACTTTAAGTCAATTTGAAACTAGTAAGTTAATTCCAAACCCCAAATTTAAAATAATTTTGGCATTGAAAACTTTATTATAATTAATGTATTATTTTTCGGCTTACGAATGATTTGTTACATGCTTTGATCAAATTCGAATTTCGAATTCATATTTAAAATCCTATACCTATCTACACTCACTTCCATTGTATGGATTCCTATTGTTATAGATTGTTATAATAACATTTTGTTTTATCGACAGATCTGTATACTGTGGTGTACTGTGATAGGTTATATAACTACGTGTGTTACAGCTGCTCTAAACAAGAAGTTTTAGAAAGCTATACTACCCATAACGTAGAACGAATCGAATCAATTTACAATCATCGTGTTTTGTATAATTTTCTATAGTAAGAAGTCAACTATTTCTATTGTTGTGTTTATTTATAACAATACCTATCTATTTTGTTCTGTAGAATAAAATTACACACCGGAAAATAGAATTATTCCAAAGCAAATTACATAACATGTCATGTCTATCTACAGAGACTGTTTCATGGCAATGTATGTTTACTCTCTGACTATACTATGGCATACGCTGTGGCAATAAAACCTTGAATGAGATAGACAACAAGACAACCTCTATATTATGTATCGTATGTTAATAGCGTAATATTAGTTCATATATACTGCTGCGTAGTAAGTAAATGACTAGATATTTACCTGATGCGGCATAGTTGTTTGTGCAAAATTATTGTTTTTTTTTCCTTATTATAAAAACATGTTTTATCCCCGACGTGACTAGTTTACAAAATTTACTAATATTTTGATTCCATAAGATTTGTAAATGGTATACCAACCAAAAGAGAAATTTGTTTTGATTGTACCAAATCGATCACTTGACTGAGCAGTTTTTGAAAAGTTAAAAATATTATTAATACTAGCCGTTATTCGCGATTTCATCCTTTTTTGATAAATATTAACCTTACCTTATCCCTACTTGTGATAGAATCTATGTATATTTACAATAATTTTATTAAGACCGGCTGTGAGAAGGTAATAAACATTCAGACTCACTTCACTTTTCCATTTCGCCTTCGTGGCGAAAGTTGATCGCTAAGTAGGGACTCTTATATTAACAATTTTATCATTACATAGTACAAAATAAAATCACTTCCACTATCTGTTCACTTAAATCTTTTAAACTACGCAACGGATTTTAATTCAGTTTTTAGTATTACTAATACTATAGAGTGATTCAAGAGGATGATTTATATGAATACATGTACTCGCGAAGCCGCAGCGGATAGCTAATATTATACATATAAAATATACATTAACTTATTAGTAAGTCTCAATAATATGACAGGAATAAACATTGAATTTATTATAACACGTATATACCTATATAAACTAATATTTTATACTTAGGAATATGCTTACCTGATTTGGATCCTGTTTCTTTTTTCTAAATGCCAAATACAATTCAAGTTTAATTTACCTAATGAACTTCAACAGAACCAACAATAACACCTATGATATAATTATATAAAACCTAACTATATTGTCTTGTTACCAAAATTAGACATGACGTGTTATGAATGGATTTTGAAGTAAATATTAAGTTTGTTAAAAACTATCGGATGTAATATGTTTTCACGTAAAGTTATTTATTGAGTAGTTTATTTTTTAAAGTAATTATAAAATCATCTATCTGCCTATAGAAGACTGGAACGAATCTTTGTAATTAAACAACAATCATATTCTTTCTTTTTAAATCAATCAGATATAGGTAATATATTAAAATACGTATACAGATACATTATGGAATTTATTAGTACTATAAATTTAAATACCTGGATCTGTATATGTATTATATACAATAAATACGACATATTATTCAATCATCTGCCATAAGAAAGAGATTTTCATATGGATAACATTTTCTTTCATGTGTGTAGGTCATAGATCTTCAAAATGCTTTGGATATAAATACATATTTTTAAAGAGGATTAAAATGATAGAGGATTCTACTTTATTACTTAATTATCTTTAATATAATAAAAACTTTTTTTTTTAAAATAAACATATTTATTCATGACACGCTTAATATTATACAATACTGCATTTAATCAAAAATTTTAGGAATTAGACTTTAAATTAAATTAAATTAAGAGTCGATTTCTCAAAATTTGGAAATTTTAGGATTTACTCTTAAATATTTAAGAGTAAAGATAAGAGAATATTTAACACAACGCAAAACACGAATGAACTTTCACTCGGTCATGGTTTGACATACTTTTGAAGCCCTTTATTATTGTGAGCGCGAACGAAGGGACCGCTTTCTAGCGTGACGAAACATTCCAAACTCACACAATGACATAATTAAAACAACATATAGGTATACATTGTGTATACAGTTGTGTACAAACACTGTATCGTACCTACTTGCAATTTTAAAATAACAAAACAAAGATTTTAGATAATTATATGATTGTTTTAAAAATACGGTATATGGGTACGTACTGGCGATGGTACATCACACGCTAATTATATTGTACTGGTAATAGTCTTCTGCGTTAAATCAAAATATTAAAATTTTTGGAATTATCCTTTGACTTTAAAGTAGATTTCCCATTTCTAATGATTGAGTTGGTTTTAAGTGTCAAATGTATAATTTAAGTGACCTGAAGAAATCAAAACAAGTCAAGCTATAAAAATTAAAATACCAATATTATATGGTATACTTTGCTAGTACTACTGTCGATTTTTTTATTC